GTTCCAGCAGGGCCCTTGGGCAACCACGAGCGGTCACTGTGCTGCTCTGCTCCTGGCTGAGCAGGACCAGAATGGAGCAGGAAGCAGGGGTCCAAGCCCCAGCTCCCCTCATCTACCCCAGATCCAGCCATAGGCCTCTAATACAGCTCAGTTCCATGTGCAACTGCCCCCAGCTTTCCCCTAGTGCCAGAGGGCAAAGAGCCTGCTCAGCTGCTCCCTGCCCAGGCCAGATGCCTCTGTAGGGCCAGCCCCAGCCTCCCCAAAGCCCTGTACCAGCCTGGCCCACGTGCCGGGTGGCAGGGACTGGGCAGCCCACGACCCGCCCGCTAGCACCCCGCTCTTACCTGGGTTCTCTTGAGTGCCTGTAGCGCCTCGGGGTGCGGCAGTGTGTACAGCACCACCCTGCCATTTGAGAGGGCCACGGCCAGCAGGCCCAGCCGGCTCAACTGCGGGAGCTGCGGGACACACACCCATCAGGGCTGGCAGCTGCTCCTCAGGGAACCCTTGCCCATGGACCCACCCCCATTCTCCAATGCCCCCACCCACTCACCCAGGGGGTATGCCACACCCCATTGCCCTCTCCCTCCCCAAGACCTCCCTTCCTCCAAGGAACAAGCCCACAGACTCTGCCTCACCCGCCTTGGCCCTGCCAGGCTCAGAGCAGTGCCAGGGGAGTGGGCACAGCACCCAGGCTGGGCAGGCCAGCCTGGAAGCTGGGCACTGGCAGCCAGAACAGATTAGAAGCGTGGCGGGATGCCCTGGGGCAGTACCTCCCCCTGTCTCCTCCTACCTTCCTGCCAGTCATGGGGGGCTCCCAGGCTCCACTTGGGCAGAACTTCATGTCCCAGATGCAGCCGTGATTGGTGGCAATGGCATAGGCCAATGAAGCTTTGGTGGCAGAGCTGCAGGCAGGCAGCGAGTCAGAAGGCTCCAGCCCCAGGCTCAGAGCTGGTGCAAACTGCCAGCCTGGGGCACCAGGGAGGAGTGGGAGGGAGGGAGACAAGGGACTGGGCACTGGAGGCAGCTCAGCCAGCTGGACACACAGGCCAAGCCTCCAGGTCACTTCCATCCGCAGACTCTGGCTCCCAAGGCCTCCCAGATTGCCCCCTCCCTGCCTGCCCACTCTGGCAGCCCCATCTCCCAGTGACCTCACCCTGCCTCATGCTGCAGTGGGCCCAGGCTCCAGAGCTGCAGTAGTGAGGGACCAGTGTGGACCTTGGCCAGACTGTGCTTCTCATCCATGCCCCTGTGGCAGTAGAGTGCCACATGCTGACCGGCAGCGGAGCCCTCGGGTGTGGGGCACCACTCCATCGCCCACACAGGGCCACCCACGAAGAATGACACATCCCATCGCTCCTCATGGGGCTGCAGGGAGTTAAACCTGCAGGGGAGGTAAGGAGAAAGGGAGCCATGGAGGTGGGCAGGGGAGATGGCTGGGCAGGCTCCCGCGTTGTTGGGGAGGGAAGATGCCCAGACAGGCATTGAGGACAGAGCTGTGGAGGCAGTGGGGAGATGGGCAGGAAGGTCCTGGTATGGACGGGACTGTCAGAGGGAGGAAACACACAGAGGCAGAGCAACATGTCCCCAGCACCTGGGAGAGTCGCGCCCAAGCCCTATGGCCCTGCTCACACTGCAGCACAGCCCCCAAAGCTGCCGGTTGGGAGAGCCACCCCTGCCCTGCAGGAAGGTGGCAGACCCTGCCCTGTTGTAGGCGCAGCTGCCCCAATGCTGGACACCTCCCCCCACGTCAAGGGGGCCTGGCGTGCTCAGACACAGCCTCTCTGGATGCCAAGCTGGGGTCTGGTGCTGGTACTGGTACCTGTTGATCCGGTACAGGATACCGTCTTCCTCAATGCCCTCCCTCTGGATGGAGAAGAGTGGAGACTTCACCTCCTCAGGCAAGTATGGGGCGGCCTCGCTGCGGGCAGAGCGCGCTCTGGGCACCTGCATCCCACCCCTCCCCAAGACCCCGCTGCAGCAGCAGATTTTCACCTGCAGCCCCAGCTCCCCTCCCCAGCAGAGTCCCCTGCCCTTCCCACAGCCCAGAAGATGACCCCAGATTTTTCCTGAGGAGCGACAAGGCCCTGGCCTCAGCCCTGACAGACCCACCACAGGTCCCTCCTGAGGTGTGACAAGGGTTCTGCCCAGTCCATGCCTTCCCCATCCCTGTCCCTGCCCCAGGCCCAGCCTCTCTGACGGGGTACCTACTTTTCAGAGAGAAAGGTCCATTTGTGGGCCAGAGGAATCCAGTCTGGGAACTCCCAGGGGGAGTAGTTGCGATCTCGCCTGCAGAGACAACCACTAGGTAAGGGCAGCTGCTCCCAGGACGCCCCCACCCCCCTCAGAGGCAGGCCCGAAAGGATGTGGGCCCAGCCCAGGCCTGCAGGTGCTGACCCAGCTTGACCCTCATCCCCTCCCAAGGGGAATCCTGGCAATGCCCTTGCTAGGGCATGCAAAGATTCAGCCCCCCAGAACCCCACAGTGCCTCGCCACACGTTGCCTGAGGAGCAACAGGAGCCCCTCCTAGCCGCAGGGAGCAGATGGGCCCCCAGCCATCTCACCCCACCCCACCTCACACTACTGCTCGGAGGCAGTGCATCACAGGCAGAAGTGCCAGGCCCCAAGCGTGGCCATTTGCTTAGTGCGAGGCAGGCTCTGCCCAACAGGCGTCAGCCCGGGCTTAGCAGTCCCTGCTGCCTGTTTAGAAGCCGCTTTCCCGCAGCACACCCCAGGTGCTGCTTAGGGAACCTCATAACAGTCACTTTCTAAGATGCAAATCTACACCGTTGTCAGCCCAACAGCTGTTGGTCCAGGCTGCCTGTGCTGCCCCCCAGTGCCCGCTCAAGGCCCCTGCAACACTAATGCCTGCAGATAAGCCACAACCTTCCCTCCAACCCTCGCAGGGAGGCCACACTCACAGGCTGCGGGTGATGCTGAAGCACTTCCACACTGGCGTCATGATGGAATTGTGGAAGCCGTTGGGGGCGAACCCTCGGCACTGAGGCTTAGATCTCTGCGCCCGCAAGAAAGCAGGGTTAAGCCAGGGCTCAGCTGGACCAGGGCAGCTCTCTCCACCTCCTGCCCTGGCTGGCTGCATCCCAAAGGCCCCAAAGCACAGGCTGCAGCTGGGGGCGGAGCTCCCTTGGGGCCACTGGCAGCATGCCAGACTCCAGGTACCAGGATCCAGACACAGCCCTGCCCCCACCCCGCCACCCTTGAGGGGAGTCTGCCCCTCCACACTGCAGAGCATCAGCCCTGCCCAGCTCTGGAGCTTGTTAGGCAGTGGCTGCTCCCCACCCCTGGCACCGTCCTTACCCCTGCAGATGCTGCCTTCAGGCTGTGCCTGCGAGGGATGTCCGGCTCCAGCTCTGAGACCCGGCTGAGCAGGGCCTCGCTCTCCTCTTCTTCCTCCTCTTCCTCCTCCTCCGCCTGCAGCAGCACTTCGGCCGAGGGCACAAAGTCAGCATCCTGGGAGGGGTCGTCACCATCTGTTTCCACCTCCTCTTCCTCCCTCCTGCGGCTGCGGCGCTTCCTCTTGGGGCCATCGGCCTCCTGCTCTGGGACAGTTTCACTGGGCACCGGGGGCTGGTATACGGACGATAACTCCTGCGCCAGCTCCTGCAGGTACAGCAGGGCCCTAGAGGCAAAGGGGGCTGATGAGGGGGCAACGGGAAGAGGTGCCCCCAGCCCGGCCTATGCTTGGGGAAAGAGCAGGGCTGCCCTGGGGCCCCGAGGAGCCGGGCTCATACGTCTCCCTGGGCACCTAAGGCTCCTCCTGCCCAGGGAAGCGGCAGCTGAGCCAGGGTTGCTCTCTAGACAGGCCACCCAGCTCTGCCTCCCCATGACTGAGGACAGATGCCTAGACTCTCATGTCCACCTCCCTGAAGACTGGATCAGCACCAACCCCTTCAGCCAGCAGCACAGTCCTGGTGCAGCCCTGGCAAGGACATACATACGAACGCAGCGCAGTGCCGCACCGCGGATCTGCTGCTGCAGCTGCCCGGCAAGGCTGTTCCATGCCCAGGGCACACGGCATAGCCCAGCAACACAGCCAGCCTGTGGGAATGCGGCAACACCTGCCTGCCCCTGCTGCCAGCCTCGCTCCCAGGGCAGAGCACCTGCACCCTGGCCTTGCAGGTACAGACACCCCACCCTCCTGGCACAGCGCCCGCGGCCGGGATACTCAGAGCTCCCAACTCGCTTGACACCCAAAGCAGCCTCTGCCTGTACTGCCCTGAAGTCTGCCAGGCAAAACCTGGGGAAAGATGCAATCTGAACTGGAATGGCAGGCGGCTGGGGGGACCCTGCCTACAGAGCACCCGCAAACAGCTGCGCAGAGCCCGGGCCGGGCGCACGCCAGCGGCCCCGTCCTAGGCCCGTAGCAGGAGGCGCTCTCTCCTGTGGACGCACCACCGAGGGCTGGCCGTTGAGCCCGCATGAAG